CCAAACCCTCACTCTAACCCTATCCCTAACCCTAACCCTAGGGCCCATCTAACACTAACCATAGCCCTAACCCTAACCCTAACCCTAACCCTAACCCTAGGCATTTGGTTTCTGCAAGAAGCAGTCTAACTCTGGAGTAGCTGTGGGGCTGTCAGAGATCGGCTGTGTCCTCATCTGATGGCCTCAGTCCTATTTCCTCCCCCTTCACTTCCAACCCTTATCTCCCACCTTAACCCCAGGCCCTTCACTAGTAATAAATATTTGGTACAGAAATGGGCCATTCTATATCTTACTACTCTGCATCTTGCTTTTCTTTTTTTTTCTTTATTGATTAAGGTATTACATATGTGTCCATTGGTTATGCTTATATGCATGCATACAAGTCCTTTGGTTGATCTCTCCCCAAAATATGTATTTTTTAATTACTTTTAAGAGGAAGGGAGAGGGAGGCTTTTCTTTTTTGTTAATTCTCACCCGAGGATATTTTTCCATTTATTTTTAGAGAGTAGAAGGGGAGAGACACAGAGAGAGAAACATCAATGGGAGAGAGACACACCGACTGGCTGTCTCCCCCACGTGCCCTGCAACTGAGGTACATGCCCTTGACCAGAATCAAACCTGAGACCCTTCAATCCACAGGCTGACACTCTATCCACTGAGCCAAACCAGCTAGGGCTGCATCTTGCTTTTCAATACTTCAGAGATATAACCTTCCCATGTCTGAGTCTCATTTTTTAACGAGATGGACAAAATTTATGTAGTCATGCCCTTACTGATGGACATGTGTTGCCAATTTCTCACTATTAATGCAATAAACATCCATACATATATTTTTATGCCTATGTGTGAATGGTTCTATACGAGAGATTCCTGGGTCAAAGAATATGGACCTTCTATTATCCTTTGTAAGAAAAATGTTCCTTTTTATAATGGGTCATACTTTCAAAAGTACAAAAGTACACCCAGATCCCTTATTTGAGGGTGAGCAATGTTACCTATTTCTTGCACTTTCTTCCAGAGATATTTCATGTACATGAAGACAAGTATTTATAAAAATGACCCCCTTTTCTACACAAATGATAGCATACTATGCATAAAACATGTTCTGTACTGTTTATAACCTTAATAATATGTGCTAATGATCATATCATATCAGTATATAAAGAGTTTCTATATTACCACCTATAGCTGCAGGGACACCACTCTTCCTGTCATTTCCCTATTTTTCTATCTGCTGTCAGTCTATATCTTGTTGACTAGGAGTTCTTGATATATTTCTGAATTTGTCATTTGAGTTGCAACTTTCCTTCCTCCAATTTTTTATTATATTTTACTGTATTAACTTTTTATGATATTTTAATAGTTAAGTAGTTGAATCAAATAATCTATTATTTTACAGCTTCTTGGTTTTCTATAACATTTCCAAATCCTTTCTCACATTGATGATGTTAAAGAAAAATCTCCTATACTTACTTATAGGACTTTTATGATTATTTGATACATTTAAATATTTATTTACTTGAGATCTATCTTGGTGGAAGGGGTTAGATATAAATCCATGACATGGAGATTTAAAAATGGTGACACATATTACGAAATTTCCTCCCAAAAGTCTATTTCAGCAAGAAATACCTATTTCTCTCACTAACCACAGATACTGTAGTCTACACTTTATTTTGCAACGACAAACTCCAGAATATTCTGAAAATTAAAAGTTTTCTGCAGCTCATTTAATGGCAAAACTTGACCTGAATTGACATAAATTTATGATGTCTCTTCCCACAGAGTATGATGCTCATGTTATTTTATAGCAGAAACATTGACACTGATCTAGGGTGCTGGCCTGGGACTCCCGAGAGGCGCTTATATATACAGACACAGCATTATTAACTCCCTGAAAGCTCTCATCTCTGATTTCTGAAGCTCTAAGGATTTGGTTAAGGGAATGTGGACTGTGTTCCCATTTTAATCTTTACTGGTGTTGCAGGTGAAATGTTTTGCGTTGCATTTCATTGATGACTTGTGAGGCTCTGCTGCTCATTGCCTCACTAGCCCTTGTCCACTGCTGGACTCGATTGCGGAGGAGCTATTTATATGTGTAAAACGTTTTTCTTAGTCCGTTTTCCATAATTTAACTTTCCCCTGGTGCTATTCCCCATACAGAGGGTTTTAACTTAGTCTTGTTATGAGGTTAAATCCTTTATGGTTTGGGGGCTTGATGTCCTCCATAGGAAGGCTTTTCCACCCAAAGATTAATATAATATTCTAGGTTTCCTCCTAACACTTTTATAATTCAGTTACATATTTTTAGATGTTTAATTCACCTGATTTTTTCTGGGTATGAGGTAGATATCTACTTTTATTTTATTTTCAAAATAGAAAGGAATTGTTTATACTTTCTCTTGACTTCAAAGCCACATTATCATACAATAAATACCTTCATATACAGGGGTCTGTTTCTGGATTCTATTCTACCCCATTTATCTACATGTCTATTCCTGCACTCAGACCACACTTTAAATTACAGTGAAAACTTATGGCATGTTTTGATAACTTCTGAAACTCTACATTTTCTGTAAATATGCAGTTGTTTTAAATATAACCAATACATGTTATTTCTAGAAAAATTTGAAAGTATTGAGAAAAGAAAATAATATTCATTTAAAATTCAATACTTTAGGAGACATTTTCTATAACACTTATATGATATAGATTCACACACAGCCATATACATTTTATATTTTTACAAAAATGAGAATATAATCCACAGTTGATAACCTAACTTATTTTTTCCCATGACCATTTTTCCATTTCAATGCTGTGTTTTTGTATCATTATCTTTTTTTTTTTATAAATATATTTTATTGATTTTTTTACAGAGAGGAAGGGAGAGGGATAGAGAGTTAGAAACATCGATGAGAGAGAAACATCGATCAGCTGCCTCCTGCACACCCCCTACTGGAGATGTGCCTGCAACCAAGGTACATGCCCTCGACCGGAATTGAACCCGGGACTCCTCAGTACCCAGGTCGACGTTTCATCCACTGAGCCAAACCGGCCAGGGCTGTATCATTATCTTTAATAAAAATAACTGGGCATCAAAGTTTACTGAATGGATACAGCAAAGCTCTCTTTGATTAACTGCTTTATTGGATATTAGGTTATTTCCAGAATTTTTGCTGAACAAAGCTGGTAATAAAAATCCTGTTTGTGTTTACTGGACTTTATTTCAACACTTATTTTCACTTGGACACTTTGGAGAAGGATACTAAATGGCTTAAACTATTAAAACCTGTGGAAAACTAGATGATTAAAAAAGATTAAAAACAAAACAAAACAAAAAAACACCAAAAAGCCCAGGGACCAATTAGAAGGAGTTTGGTCCAGGGACTAGAGTCCTCCTGAGGGAGCCCATGCAGTGAAGGAGCCTGTTACAGACACGGTTCCTGGCCACCTCTTCTTGAAAGCGGAACTTGCTGAGGACACTGTTCACTCCAGCTGTCCTCGCTCGGCCCCGAAGCCTTGGGTGGCTCTGCAGTGTCTTCCCCGAGCCTGACGCTCAGGGCCTCTATGACCAGGCCACCCCCCGTGTCATCTCGTCTCCCAGGCCATCTCCTTGGGGATTCTGCATCAAGGTCAGGCATCAGCTATTTTTCCTAAAACAACCTGCTCTTTCTAGCCTCTGTGCTTCTGTCTGTCTGTCTCCCCCGCTTCCCCACAAATGCCATTTCCTTCATGGCGGGTCTTCCGTCACCCTAAGCCAGGAGCTATCTTTGTTTTTTGTGCTTCCATAGGCACTCAAGTTTGATTTTATGTATATTATATTCTAACTTATCTTCTCTACCAAACTAATAAAACATTCAGCCACTTTTAAAATGGACGTTAGAGGCTGCCTCCCTGGCTTCCATTCCATCACCTTCATTAGGGGGAGCCATGAAGGTTGGGTGGGAGACCTAGCTCCTGTTTCTAGTGCAGTCCCTGCATGTCTAACCCACTCGGGTAAGCCTTTGTCTGGCTTTGGAGGTTGGATCAGGGGTGAGCACATGACCAATTTGGTCCAATCCCAGTGAAACCGAGCACTATGTCCAATGGCCAAGAAAAGACGTCTTGGAGACAGAGCAGCTTTCAGATACAGTTTGGCCTGTTGGCCTGGCACTGAGGCAGCCATTCTGCTCCCAGGAGGAAAACCAGCCTGAGAAGGGAAGGGAGCAGCTGAAAGAAGATCTGAAAGCAGCATTAAAAAATGAATCTGGCCTGGCTGGCGTAGCTCAGTGATTGAGTGCCGGCCTATGAACCAGGAGGTCACGGTTCAATCCCCAGTAGGGGCATATGCCCAGGTTTTGGGCTTGATCTCCAGTGCGGGGTATGCAGGAGGCAGCCAATCAATGATTCTATCTCATCATTGATGTTTTTATCTTTCTCTCTTTATTTTATATTCTTTCCTTCCTTCCTCTCTGAAATAAAAATTAAAAAATAGAATCTGGAGTCTTGATCAAACTGAGGCTGGAATGTGGCTACCTCTGCAAGTTCCAGTTAGAGGAGCCTACAAGTTCCCTTCAGGTTTAAACTAGTTTGATAGCAGGGAGACTGCATGCTCTCTGGGAGGCTGTCCCAGCCAGCCAGCCATGCACTTACCTTCTTTGATAATGTCGATAATGTCATTGGCATTGAAGCTGAGTTCGTCTGTGTCCTGAGCGTCGTAGGCATACAGAGCCTTGCACTGTGGCACCTGAGGCTTGGGCTTGGGCTGGGGCTTGGGTCTGCCCCCTGCTGGATTGGGCCTGCTGGTCGTCTGTCTCCGGACCCTGTGGAGAGAGTGGAGGCAGGTGAGAGATGGCATTTGACAGGGGCAGTTCCGGATAGTGGTCTAGACCCAGTGGTCACCAACCGGTGGTCCGCAGACCACTGGTGGTCCATGAGGTCCAAAAGGTTGGTGACCGCTGGTCTAGACCATGGGGCCAGCACTGGCCTGTTCAAGTTCAAATCCAGCTCCATCCTTAGAAGGATATGTCACCCCCTAAACTTTTTCTGATAATAAAACAGCCTCCCTGACAAGGTCATTGTAAAAGCATAGATAGCTCTCAATAACCATTAGCTGCTGTTACCATGTCCCTCACTATATCTATATATCTATATATATATCTTTTCCACAATAATAAAAGTCACAAATCTACCCCCTCCCCAACTTTGGACACAGAATTTTTGCGGGTACCATAGAAGCCTCTCTCTCCTCAGCTGCCATCCCTCCCAGAATGACCACCCTCCCACACTTTGTATTAATAATTCTGGTTTCCTTTGTAGTTTTACAACACACGTCTCCCTAAACAACCCACGAAAGGAATCCCATTCTACTAGCACTCGCTCCATTTTTGGGATGTAGCCTGTTGATGTGCGGAATTTTAGTTCATTCATTCTCATTGCTTTATACCACTCCACCCCGTGCATATGTCCCCATTTCCTGACCCACTCATTGGGATGATTCCAGCTTTATCACAGAAATGCTGCAGGAAATGCGCTTGTGCAAGAGCTCACCCAGAGCCGCTTCTCACCTTAGCACTGCTGACACAGCACTTGTCTTTGCTGTGGGGCTGTCCTCTGCACTGTAGGGTGTTCAGCAACATCACCGGCCTGTCCCCTCTGGATGCCAGTGGCACCCGCCTCCCCTTGGTTAAGATCATCAAAAATATCTCCAGCACCAGAACCCTAATCCAGCTTTCTGTGTATGAGTGTATGCTTCCAACACACTGCTGCCTCCGGTCACCATTCACACACTGTCTCAGGCATGTAACTATCGCTTCTTCCTATTAAGGGAGACCTTTAAACTTATACCTGAAACAACTACTAAGTATGTTCATGAAAGTATTTAGAGAGAAAGGAAAAGGAAATAGAAATATAGACCCTCCCCCCCTGCCCCTTTGCTTAAGGACAAACCAAAGGAAAGTTAAGCTCCCGATTTCCTCTAAGAGGGTTGGGCTGAACTCAACATAAGCAGGGCTGGGGCTGGCCTGTTATGCCTGCCCGGTCTGTGAGCACCTGCTCCCACCTGGGGGAGGGAGGAGGAAAAGGAGGGTCTCTCCTTGGGCCTGAGTTTTGGAAGCAGAAAGCACACCCGGTTTGGAGCTGTGCTCTCAGGAGGCCAGAGCCCCAGTGTCCTCGCTGAGGTCCTGTGATGCCAGGTGCTCACTGGGTGCCGTGAGTAAGTTGGATCATGAGGGGGTGCGTAGGGGGAGGGCACTGGATGTCAGCAGGGTGGTAGGGCTGTTCCCAGCAGGGGTGGGGTTCCTTCCTTTGTGGGAGGGAGCAACCCCAAGGTTACACAGGCTTCATTCAGCCTCCTCAGGTCAACCATGTCCCCACCTCCCACCCCAGCAAGCACTTTGATCACAGAGGAAAGGTGCCGGAGAGATCATTTGCATACATCATTTCCTCCCTGGTCCCCTGGCAATCCCCAGTCCCTGCTTGAGACGTGCTGGCTTCCCTGAGAGCTGGCCGGGCACACAGGCCTTTAATTAAGAGACCTGTATATTAGGGATGTCAGCATTTGGTTAATAAGAGCCACTAGCCTGCATACCAGCAGTCAGCTGATTTCCCAGCAACAGGGAGTGGGGCGGAGGGCGGGGTGAGTGTCAGAACACCCTGCGAGGGAGGAGAGCTCCAGCCTGGTAGTCCAAGGA